ATCATTGAGCATTAGTTAGTTACATTAAAACGGGAGACTATTTCAGATGAACGTCACAATTCAAGAACACAAACTTTAAACGTCTGAATAATCATGACTTATTTAGCCGACATGTTAAATTCCTCCTATATCCTAAAGTTACTGAATTAATTTTTTCCCCAAGATAACCTCATCCTTATGTCCAGCCTCTGTAAAGTTTTTTTCCTAATTTATATGCATTTAAATTCGTGTTTTGAATAATTTTTCCAAATTTCCTTCCACGCTAAAGACTTCTTGTTTCATAAATACCTTTAAGGTATATCAGTGCATCATTAATAACTTTGAAATGGGCCAGCATTCAGTGTTTTCAGACTTAACTATAATATAGCTTAACGCTTTTGACTTTATTAGGAAAACATTTCAGATAAAAACAAATTCATTTGATAGGTCTCTCAGCTAAGGAAGAGGATTAGGGCCACTGAAAAAAAAAAAAGTTAACTGATTTTTTAATTTTATTTCAGTTTAACATGGGAAAAAAGTCAGAATTCTGACTTTCTTTCTCAGAATTCTGACTTTAATCTCAGAATTCTGACTTTTTTCACAGAATTCTGACTTTTTTATTGTCAAAATTCAGTCAGAATTCTGAGATTAAAGTCAGAATTCTGAATTTTTTCTCAGAATTATGACTTTTTTCCCATACTAAACTGAAAAAAGCCCTAATCCTCTTCCGTACTCAGCAGCTCCTCCAATTAACATTCTCTTTTCCCAGCCAATCATTTTAGAGGCATTAAAAGCATCAGTAGGTTTGAATCTAATCGTGACTTTCAGATTTTTGTGATCTACAATCTGTTCTAAATTTTATCATGTTTTCCTCCTTTAATGCAGCTTGTTAATTTGTAATCTGTAACACCCTCTAAGGCATTACCCTAACATTTAACAAGAAATGTATGAATAATTATGTAATATTAAATGACCATTAAAGCGCACTGGATTTTATTCATTAAAAAAAAAAAAGTCATAAAAGCACAAATAACTGTTTTTCCTGATTCATAATTTGTGTTGGTCTGTAACAAAGTCCCTCCCCAAATAAAACTACATTCAGGTTTCGTTTAGTGTTTTTTATCACAAATTATGTTAAGTTGGACAGAGATTACTCATTTCTTGGAGTATATATCCACTCTGACATCTGGGAAATACCAACACCCACAGTGAGTAGCGCTGCGCCGAGCAACGCCGATGCAATCTGGGAACTGTCAGTGGAACACTAAGACTGAAAGTGGAAGTTCCTGTCCTCAGTCTCCCCGTTTAAACTCAGCAGCTGACCTCACATGACTGGATTACTGACAGCTGCAAAAGGAGAACATGACATCCCCATTCCAGCTGAATTAGCATCACCTGACAGAACTGAGACGGGCCTTTTCCAGCTCAGCTTTGACAGGTGAGGTCACTCACAGGCGGTGCGCAGGTCGCAGGCCAAGGCGAGCTCCAGTCCGCCTCCGAGGGCGACGCCGTCCATCGCTGCGATGGTGGGGGTGGGTAATGATGCTGCCAGGCAGTAAGAAAAAGGAGAGGGTTTACAACGCCACTAAGAAAATATCCAACACCAAATACGGGTTCTCTGCTACCTATCTGAGTCATAAGGGAGCGCAGGCCGTGCACAAACAGATCAGACTGGGAGTTGTTCATCAGAGCTCGTTCCTTCAGGTCTGCACCTGTGCAAACACATTATTACTGGTTAAACACAGAGACTTACTGGGAGCTATTATGCAGAGCTGAGCCTCTACCTGCACAGAAGACCCCTGGTACTAAACTCCTAAAGATCACCACACGAACTGCTGAGTCACTGGACAGAGTGGACACCAGCTCCCTCATCTGCACACAAACAGGAGTCCAGGTCTGCACTTGGAGTGCGAGTGTTTGTATACGTGTGATGTCAACAGCTCTGCTCACCTGTGACACAAAGACGTGACCGAGAGCGTTTCTCGCTTGGTGTCGGCACATCAGCACCTCCACTATACCTGAGGAGACGTCAGGGGACGGGACAAAGAAAAAAACATCAGCCTCAATGGTTAATAATAAACTGATTTATAAAAGCTGAGGGTTAATGAGTTTCTGATGGTCAGCAGAGTCCGTCATCTTCTGCTCTGGTTATCCACACTGGAGTTAGTGTAGAAAGTGTGCTTAGATTAAACTGGTACGCTGTGTTGAGCCAAAACAATCAGGCAGTTTGAGATTATTATTCAGAAAGGCAACATTTATTGTGCAGCTAAAGTAATATGGGGAACAAAAGAGTCATATTAATGTTGTCCATTACATTTACGGAAATATTCCCATGAAAATAAATTTGTCTGCTGTAGCTTTTAGGCAAGGCAAGGCAAGGCAA